CAGTCAGGCTCTAAAATGGCTATAAAAATTAAAAAAATTAGTTATTATTAGGTTCATTATTGAGCTCATGGATCAAATCAAACATGAGATCTCAATAATGAGATTTGTGAGGGATCCAAATATGACACAAATTTGTGAAGTCATCTATATAAAAAAAATCAAGATTTGTTTTGTGATGGAATATGCCAAAGGAGGTGAGCTTTTTTTAACAAGATTGTTAAGGAAGACATATAAAAATGCTCATTTATGAAATTCAAAGTACACTTGAAAGATACACTATATTGAAGGCTATAATAAAATAAAATAAATAAAGAGTCAAAATGCCATCGGATCCTCAATACGCTTACAAACGGACATAAGGCATTTGTAGAGCCCAAAATTGAAATTTTGTGCACATCTCAATGATAAGTACTTGCACAAATAATCATATTTGAGTATTTCAAATGCTCCCCTCCTATATTAAAATTAAATTTTCTAAATTTCAATATGCAATATCTAGTAGGGTACCGATGCCCCTAAGATGTGTATAGCAGCCTTAGAAATCAAGTGACTACCCCAAGAAGAGTGCTACCGTCTTGAGAAGCAAGTCAATACATTGAGAAGCATGCATAGTAAATTTTAAAAGCCTAATATACATGCTATTTAAATCACCGATGATGGTTGTGTTGAATATTTATATCAACTGGAGGGGACTCTACACCTTTAAATGCCTCCAAATTCTTATGAAATACAAATAATTTCAAATGACCCCAAAGTCACTCCAATGATGGCCGTGTTGAAAGCTAATCTCAATCATAGGAGACTTCAAACATGTAAAATACCTCCAAATGTCAAAATTAAATCATATTTGGAACAAAATCTTGATAACTTTTAAAATATTCAAATAAAATTTATTATTTAAAACTTAAAACAAAAATCCATATATCATCCACAAACGTTTTTTAAGGATGATAAATTTCAAAATAACTTGTGCTCATAAAAAGAAAAATGTATAATTGAATGTATCACTGTGATTCATTCTCAAATGATTTCTTGCCAGCGGGGATGTGGCATGGGCCCTTTGACCTAGGGGTTTTGCTACAAAATAGCACCATTATATCATGGTTACGGTCAAAGCCCGTATGTTCTTCAATGGTTAAAAGCCCCTTGAGTAATGAATCATAGGGTGCACTCAATAAGGCACAAAGTTTTCTATTAGCTAAGATTGACTAAAATTTTTCTCCTTAAACAAGCATCCACCCCAAGTCTACAAGGTACCCTTGGACGTATAACCCATGGCTACCGACAAGGATCCTTCTATTAGTTTGGGTCAACTGCCTCCTCTGTCTAAGCAGACTAGGGATCATGATGGCCCGGGACGACGGAACCATAAGATCTTGATCGGGCTCATCATCATTCCCTCCACCATCTGCTTTAAATATAAAAATAATAAATTTATAATTCAAAAAATTTTATATGTTGCTACTGTAAGCTAGATATTTCGTACCTATTTAATGGCTAGCCTTAATCAAAAGTGCTCTCTGATTATGGGAGGGGCAATTAGCCATAGGTGCTTGTGCCTATGGAAAACCTAGAACCAGATTATAAAGTCCTCACAAAATGAGGGCAAAATCTATGGGTAGTGCTTTATCCCAAAGTCAATCTACCTTCTGAAAATTTGACCCGAAACATCGTTAAAACTCTCCTACGATGGGGAGGCCGAGGCTAAATTTTTAGAGCTCACATTCATGATATATAGCTTTGGGTTTGGAGCGACTAATGAAGGTTATAAGACCATAATAGAGTTTTCTTTAACTTATATTTTTATAATTTTTAATATCTTATTTAAGAAAAGAGATGAACATCTTATCACTAACAAGAATATATAAGAAAACTTAAATTTATTATTTTCTTATAAATATATATATCATTTAGATTGCAAATATTATAAAATTATTCATAGAGAAAGTTTATGCACCTAACATCGCTTATTAGTTTGTATTTTAATATCAAGGGGTAAAAAATAAAGGAAAATAAAGTTAAACATTATTTTGAGATTAAATGGGGGCTTTTAGAGAATATTAATATTAGATACTAAGGAGGGCAAAAGATATATGTATAAGTTAGCTAAAGAAAGAAATAACATTAGTTAGGATTTAGTTTAAGTAAAGTGTATTAAGGATGAAGATAAAAAAAGTACTTTTATTGGAAGAGGATATTATACAATGTTGGATGAGATATTTTTCTTAACTTTAAATTTTAATGAAGATTATGTGAATGCAATTGACTTTAGAGACCTTAGCATCCTAAATTAAAATAAAGATTTTTTTTTTCGTATTAGTAAAATATAAATTATTAGTAAAATATAAATAAGAGAGACTAAAAAAAAATGAAGTGTAGAAAAGCTGTTGGACCTAATGATATTCTAATAGAGGTATGGAAATGCTTTGGAGATGATGGAATTTCTTAGCTTAATAAACTTTTTAATATTATTTTGATGACTAAAAAGATGCTATACGAGTTAAGAATGAGTGTGTTAATTTCTATTTTTAAGAGTAAAGGTGATGCAAAAAATTGTGCGAATTATAGAGGATTTAAGTTAATGTGTCACACTTTAAAACTATAGGAGAGTATTATGAAGCATAGGTTGCGATGTGATACTAATGTTTCTCAAAATCAATTTGGATTTAGGATGGGTAGGACTATTATGAAAGCTATACATTTATTGAGAGGTTTGATGGAGAAGTATAGAGCGAATAAGGAGGATCTACATATGATATTTATTGATTTAGAAAAGCATACCATAAAGTTCCAAGAGAAGTGCTATGGAGAGTTCTAGAAAACAAAGTGGTTAATAATGCTTATGTTCAAGTCATTAAGGATATGTATGCATACAAGAGTTATTACTTGTGTTCAAACACAAGATGGTTTAAAACAAGTTTTTTCCTATTTCAGTTGGATTATATCAAGGATCAGCTTTAAGCCCATATCTTTTTTCTTTATTCATGGATGTTCTCACCATACATTTGTAAGAGTTTGTAACTTGGTGTATGCTTTTTACAGATAATATTTTTCTTGTTGATAAGACTAAAGAGGAAGCTGAAGGTAAAATTGAATTATGGAGGTCAGCCTTATAGTCTAAAGGCTTTCATTCAAGTAGATCTACTATAATTTTAGTAATAATAAATCTAGTGGTGGAATTGTTACTTTGGGTGATTAATTCATTAATAAGAGTACATATTTTAGACATCATGGGGATAGTGTTTAGAGCGATGGTGAAATAGATGGGGATATTATTAGTAGAATTCAAGTTGGATAGTTGAAGTGGAGGAATGCATCAGGCTTGTTATGTGATAGAAAAGTCCCCCTCAAACTTAAGAGAAAATTCTATAAGATGGTGGTTAGACCTACAATGCTTTATGATGTAGAATGTAGGCCATTAAAAGAGAAGCATAATATTAAGTTAAGTGTTGCATAGTTGAGGATGCTCAGGTGGATGAGTGGCTTTACTCTTAGAGATCGGATACGAAATGAACATATAAGTAAAATGGTTAAAGTAGCGCTAGTAGAAGATAAGATTAGAGAAAGTCGCCTTAGATGGTTTGGTCACATAAAATGAAGGTCTATCTTCCGATGAACCAGTTAGAAAAGTAGATGTAGTAGATTTGACTTTTATTAAGAAAGGTAGAGATAGATCTAAACATACTTGGTTAGAAATATTAGAAATGTCCTTTCTATATTAGATTTACATGAGAATTTAACTCTTAATAAAACACATTGAATTGTTGATGTTGTTATTGGTGTATATTCTTAGGGTTTTCATTGTGTGTGATCTTGAAGAATATTATTTAGGGTTTATTCAGGATGACTATACCTTTTGATAAAGTTGATTGTAAAGATGCTATGGGAAAATTAACTTAGCTACTCTGGTCACAAAAGAATAACTTTCCACCACATAAATTTCTGAAATTAAGAAAGCAGCAAAATAGCAGCAGCCAAACTAAATTGTAGTTGTTTTTTGAATAGCAACAAATGTGAAAGCTATCCCATCTAGACCCTTAATCATATGGATTGCACTATACATAACCTGGTTACTTTCTTTATGCTTAAAAACAATGTTAGTAATGAATCTTTAAGTGTATTCCCAACCCAAGCAAAGAGCATTTCAAAAGCTTATAAATGTGGTTAATGTAATCTCTTATACTTGTCAAAAGATTTTAATATTTTTTTTAAATATATTTCAAATACTTTTAACTATTATTACTATTTAGAAAAGGGCCATCGAACGTGCTTATTCTTTTGTAGGGATAAGCTTCAGCCTTTTGCACAATAATGCAAGCAAGAAAAAAAAACTAGAAGTAAATTTATAGGAAAGTGAGGCTACCAAACTTGCCTATTGTCTTCCCTCTTCCATGTGCTTGTAGAGATAAGATAAGAATGTGCATCAATCTAAAGTGATGTCAAATAATTGATCATCAATCTAAAAGCAAACACTAATTTTATATTATAGAATAACAATTAATCATAGGAGTATATTAGGGTCAATAAGTATTGTGGGGTCATTAGTTTGAGTTAATGAGTTACAATTGCTCTTACTAGTCATTGGTCTATAATTTTTTTTTTACTAGTCATAGGTCTATAATGAGCATTATAGTATGTAATAAGTAGCTTAAGTGATCTTAGTGTCTAATAGGTTATTAATAAGTCCTATGAAATCTCTCTCTATCTCTCTCTCTCTCTCAAATTTTTGATGAACCTGAATTGTTGTTTATCATACAATCATTTTTGGGTCATAATAGAGTAACAAATTTGACTACCGGAATTTCTGGTGGTTTACTCTTCATTAACTGTGGTCCAATTGTCGGTTAATAGCGGTGGTCAAACCACTTGTTTAATCGGTAAATTGACTATCAGAAGTTTCGCCAGTAATCAATGAATTTTCTGTAGTGTTAATTCCAGTTTAAGATCAAATAAAAATAAACAGAATAAAGCTTTAATCATGCAAAAATATCAACACATAATTAATACACAAGACATGTATATATAATAACAAATCAAGTACTTATAATATTCTTATATCATATACATTGAATGGCTGTTGATTGGCATTACTCAAACATAAAGAGTAATGCTCAGAAAACGCACTCAATACACAGAATCAACTGAGTCCACCATTATCAGATCCCCCATATACAAATTAAGCATCCCTTCTTCTGCTCTTCATAACTAAAGATTTCTTCAAGCTAGTTGGAACTTATTGTTCCTCAAGCTTTCAAGCGAGCTCCTCCTCCATATGAGTCTTAATAGTAACATCAGACTTGGGATAAGCATAGCAAGTAAGCACCCATCCCTCACTAATCTGATCATCATCGAGAAAACTAACATCAGACTGATCAACCTCACCATTAACCAACTTCCCAGCACAGGAAGAGCACGAACCAGCTCGACAGGAGTATGGCAAGTCTATCCCCTCCTCTTCTGCCCTATCCAGAATAGACACATCGTCTGGACACTCAATCTCCACAGTCTGATCAGGTGTCTGAAGAGTCACCTTATACGTAGCCATGGCCTTCACTCTGCCACCTTTGGTATCAGCTCTCTTTAGCCTGAAGAGAGAGGCAGCTCGATGGCGGCCGGAGAAGCCAAGGTTGAGTGGGGGAGAGGTGGAATGGCGTGGGATGAAAGGAGTGTGCAGAGAAAGGGAGGCTGCCATTGCTGGACTTGGAGGTTGAGGAGAGGAGTTGATTGGGAGGGTAAACGTAAATATGAGGGAGTTGGGGAAGGTTTTGGATGGTGGGTAATGGAAAACGTGGAGCTTGGTTTGCGGTGGACTTATCCCTTCTGATACTGGTGATTTATGGCTGGAGAGGGGATTTTGAAATGGTGATAATGGTGATTTATGGTTGGAAAGAATAAATGATTGTGTGCCACAGAGCAAGAAGAAAATTTCTGAATTTTTTAGATTGTATAATTAGTCTAAATGCGTAATATGGTACATATAATTATGAGTGGAACATATTTATTCTTGTATTTTGACTATTTTTTATGCACATACAAATGTGGCTACTCATATAAATTAATAAAAGTACAAGAAAAGCTATTCATTATATAATGCCATTGAATTTAATGTAAGAATTTATTAGAAAATAAGTTAATTAAATTAAATTGAAGCTTAATTTTATATGTTGGATCTTTTGAGGATATAAAAAATTTATCTTCTCTGCTTAGTTGTTTTATAATTAGATATAAAATATTCTATATATTATATGACTTGATTTTTTAGATTTATATTATGTTTATTTTACGAGCCATTTCTACTATGTTATAGTGTACTCAATACTCTCATACCAAAATGTCGATCAATCATGTTGTACTATTATTTCAAACCTAAATGGCATTGATTGAGCTCACCACGGGGTTGTAAAAGGGAAGCACTCCTCTGCTTGGTGTTCAAGAGCCTTTCATTCGATTTTTTTTTCCATAGAAATGTCATAGCTATTTATTGGAGTAGTGATACAACGCTTCAAACATGGACTAGAGAGAGGGAGAGAGAGGGAGTGGAGTGTTGTGGTGCTCCAAATCTTGATGTTGCAGCACTATCTGCTGCAACGTAATGGCACTATAGGCTGGAGCGGTGCTGAAAGGTAAACTCATAGATAGAGAGTGGAGTGTCGCGACGCTCCAGGCCTCAACTTAGTGGCGCTGTTAGTTAGGATGAGTAGTTTTTCTTCCATCCTTTTTCTATTTCACTTGTAGAATTGTGTCATTTGTTGTATTGAAAAGCATATCTTTTCTATTGTAAGTAGAATGAAAAGAGAAGTGTATAGAGATGAGAAGAGAGATTTGTATAATTTCTTCAAATTTTCTGTTGCATTAGCGCCCTAGTACAATATTAAATAGGCAAGGGTTCCCACATCATGGACATATGTGGGCGAATAAGCTTGTCCAAGAAACTAAAATTAGGTTAGGATCATGGAATTTGGGTTCCCTACAAACAAATTAATGGAATTAAGTGATATTATAATTCATAGGAAGATAAATATTTTATGTATTTAAGAAACTAAATGAATGAGAGAGAAGGCTAAGGAGATTGATAGTTTAAGGTTTAAACTTTGATATTCTAGCAAGAGTCATATTAAAAATGGTGTAGGTGTGATTATAGATAAGAGTTTGAAAGATAATGTTATAAAAATTAATAAAATTGGAGATAAAATTATAGCTTTGAAGATTATTATTGATAGTAAGATTATTAATATTATAAGTGTTTCTGTTTCTCAAGTAGGTTTGGATATGTGCTAAAAATTAAAATTTTGGAATGACTTAGAAGAATTAGTACAAAAGATATATCTTGAAAAAGAATTTTTATTGGGAGAGATTTAAGTTGACATTTTGGTAGAGAGGTAGAGGATTTTAAAAGTATTCATGGTGGCTATAGATTTGGAGCAACTAATGAAGGTGGTAAGATTATTTTAGATTTTGCTTTAGCTATAATTTTGTTATTGCTAATACCCTATTTAATAAAAGAGATGAGCATCTCATCACTTAGAATAATGTATATAGTAAACCTCAGATTGATTATTTTCTTATAAGAAAAATAAATCGTTTTGATTGTAGAGATTATAAAGTTATTTCGAGTGAAAGTTTATATATCCAACACCGCTTATTAGTTTGGGACGTTAAGATTAATGGGCAGAGTATGAAAAATATAGTATATCATTATTTTAGGATTAGATGGTGGCATTTGAAGAACTCTAATAAAAAATATCTTTGAGAGTAAGATTCATGATCTTAAGATTTTGTCGGTGCATGAGAAAATTAATGTTATGTATGAAATAGTAGCTTGTAATATTAAGAATATTACAAATGATGTGCTTGGAGTATCAAAAGAAAAAGCTTATAATATAAAAATAGTTGGTCGTGGAACCAAAATGTGTAAGAAAATATAAAAAATAAGAATCTCTGTTATAAAAACTGGTTTATCTGTAAAAATTCTAAAAATTGGGAAATATATAAAGTTGCTAGTAATGAGACTAAGAAAACATTTTATGATGCAAAGACTTTAACTTTTAATGATTTATATAATAGATTAGATACTAAAGAGGGTGAAAGATAAATGTATAAGCTAGCCAAACAAAGAAATAAAAGTAGTAATGATTTAGTTCAGGTGAAGTGCATTAAGGGTGGAGATAAACAAATATTTTCTTAGAAGAGGATATTCAACAAAGGTGGATGAGATATTTTGTTCAACTTTTCAATAAAGATTGTGAAAACATGATTGACTTTAGTAACCTTTACACTCTAAATAAAAATATAGATTTTTTTTTTATCGACATATTACTAAAAATGAAGTTAGAGAGGATTTAAAGGAAATGAACTGTGGGAAAGCTATTGGACCTGATAACATTTCAATAGGTGTGGAAATGCTTAGGAGATGAAGGAATTTCTTGGCTTACTAAACTTTTTAATATTATTTTGAAGAATAAAAAGATGTCATATGCATAGAAAATGAGTGTCTTGATTCCTATCTTTTAGAATAAAGGTGATGCACAAGATTGTGCAAATTATAAATGAATTAAGTTGATGTGTCATTCTTTAAAACTATGGGAGATAGTTATGGAACATAGGTTACGACGTGATATTAATATTTCTCAAAATCAATATGGATTCATGCTGGGTAGGTATACTATGGAAGCCATATATTTATTGAGAGGTTTGATGGAGAAATATAGAGAGAAAAATGAAGATCTTCATATGATATTTATTTATTTAGAGAAAGGATATGATAAAGTTTCAAGAGAAGTGCTATGGAGAGTTATAAAAAAGAAAGGGATTAATAATGTTTATATTCAAGTTATTAGGGGTATGTATGCTCGAGCTATTACTTGTGTTCAAACGCAAGGTGGTTTGACCAAACAATTTTCAATTTCAGTTGGATTACATCAAGGATCAACCTTAAGCCCATATCTTTCTTGCTTTAGTCATGGATGTTCTTACTAGAGATTTTCAAGAGGATGTTTCCTTGGTGTGTGCTTTTTACTGATGATATTCTTCTTGTTAATAAGATTAAAGAGGGAGTTGAAGGTAAACTTGAATTATGGAGGTCAACTTTAGAGTATAAAGGTTTTGGTTTAAGTAGATCTAAAATTGAATACATGTAGTGTAATTTTAGTAGTAATAGATATAGTGGGGAGTTTGTGAGCTTGAGAAATAAAGTCATTAATAAGAGTAAATATTTTAGATAGCTTGGGTCAATTGTTTAAAGTGATAGTGAAATAGATAGGGATATTATTAGTAGAATTCAAGTTGGATGGATGAAGTGGAGGAATGCATCGAACTTGTTGTGTGATAGAAACGTCCCACTCAAACTTAAGAGAAAATTCTATAAGATAATGGTTAGATCTGCAATGCTTTATAACGCAAAATTTTAGCCATTAAAAGAGAAGCATAATATTATATTAAGTGTTGCAGAGATGAGGATGCTCAGGTGGATGAGTGGCTTTACTTTTAGAGACATGATATGAAATGAACATATATGTGAAAGGTTAGAGTAACCTCAGTGGAAGACAAAACTAGAGATAGTCGCCTTATATGGTTTGGTCACATAAAATGTCGACATTTGATGACCCGATTAGGGGGGGTGGGGGTAGATGTATTAGATTTAACCTATGTTAAGAAAGGTAGAGGTAGACCTAAAAACATTTTGTTAGAAAATATTAGAAATAAGCTTTCTTTATTAGATCTAAATGTGAACTTGACTCTTAACTAGGTACAATGGAGAAAAAAGATTCATGTAGCTGACCCCACGTAGTGAGATAAAGGCTTGATGTTGTTGTTGTTGTTGGTATGGCTATGTGATTTTTTCCTAGATTTGGTTTTTTCCACATTAAATCCTGGTGTACATTTCCACTATTTTCTTTTCTTGTTTATTTTGTTACTTGTTTTTCTTCCCAATAAAAATTTCAATGATTAATATATGTGCATTGATTGAAGTTCTTAGAGCTATCTAGTTTATTATGTATAAATAGTTTTTGTCATGATGTTCTAGGCGCCATGCATGTTATGTTTTGAATTTTTTTATGAATTTTTCTAAGCTTTGTATTGAATCAAACATTTGTTGGCTATGTGATTTGAAATCCTGTCATAATTTTTCACTTAGTTATAACTATAAATATTTCATTTAAATTTTCCATTTAATTCTTATCCCAACCAATCAACAATAGAGAACAAGAGGAGAGAGGAATTCTAAAGAGTGAAAGCTAGATTTGAAAGTCATAGAGTTTGATTTAGAAATCATGCCAATTAAAATTCTTGATCTACATAATGTAGGTTATTATTATAGCATATTAGAAGTCGTCAAGTTTTGTTCTAAAAGTTTTTATCATCTTTTTTTTTTGTGAATTTGACAAAATAAAGATTTTATTGTATATTGATAATTTTAATAATATAACTTTTGGTATTTCTTATTTTGGCATTTCTAATTATTTTTATGTAATTGTGCCAAAAATTTTAACATGTAATTTGCATTCCTATAATATTTAGGCTTAATTTGTGACATCTTTCTTACTGCTTTGCTTTTTAAGATCCAAGCATAATATTTATTTGGCAACTACATTTTCATTGCTTTCAAAACATTTTATACTAAAAAGTTATTTTCTACAACAGCTTTAAAAAGTTACATTCTCTACATCAATGTTATGTGCATTGTAGGAGCTTGTTGTCCCCTTCATTACCTTGACACTTTGTTTTGTTATTGTTGGTGTTGGCATACACTTCAATTTTGGGTGGTGTTATTGGGCTTGTTTATGTGGCTAGGCTAGAAACCTTTTGCGGCACATGAGTTGCTATGGACTTTGCTTATATTGATTGGTGATTTCTTTTGTGTGATCAACCATCCATACAATAATCATTTCATTTCTATAGTCCTCATAAGATTTTGGAGATCAACCATGACTCCATAATTGTTTGTGATGTTAATTATCCCTCTTTTATAATATTAACTCTCGGTAATGCTTCCTGGATAGTATCCACGTCCTTGTTTAAGGCATGGAGAGTGCTTCATAAAATTGTAACCCTTCCAACCCTTGCTTCGTGTGTCTTCCCATGGCATTTCTATTGCTTAGGCAATCGACTTAGGGTCTCATTATATTGTTGCAAATGCGGCTCATTTGAAAAAAAGTACTTTGGTTTCATGGGCACCTTGGACTCGAGTTGGTTAATCCAAAGGGGAAGTTGTCTTATCCTATGTACGACTTTGGTTCTTTCCTCTCCTTCCATCTAGATGATTGTTATGGGTGAGATCATAGTTGTCTTGAGTCCTTGCTACCTAATTAATCTTGCTAGTAGTCATATATTTGTTTGTCTCAAAGATTAAACAATACATGTGGAAGTATGAACTATCTCAGACTATGAAGCTACGAATAGCTCATTAAATTAGCTATAGGTTATTTGATGGTACATGATACTAGGATAACCATAATAATTCTATAGCAAATGCGTGCACCAAAATTCAGACTTTTAGAAGGGATGCATTTATTAAGTAAAAGGCCGATGTAGACTTAATTTTTCCTGTTGACCTGATGATTCATGATAACTCATCGGATCACATGGCCTTGTACCGGTGATGCATTATTCAAATATATTTTCTTATTAAATTTGGATGTTATGATAGGGGCCTACCATGGTGGTGACGAGTGATAGAGAATTAGGGTTTGATTCCATAAAAGGAGCTTGAGATATGGCTATTACATCCAAGAAAGGTAGCAGGCTTTAAAAAGCAGGAAGAAAGTTATCCCAAATGAAGCCATAGTCTTGTAAGTTGTGAGGTTTCCACTATATATAGAAATATAGATTGTAATGTCAAACTTTTAGTGATCAGATTACATGAAAAACTCATTACTTATTAGAGCTCGATGCTTTACTTAGACAATGCCTCCACATAACGTATGAATCTTGCAATTCACACATACTATATGATTTACTATTCATGTTGAATTTACTTTCTATTTCTTATTGTGAACTATTAGAACTATTAAAGAGGATATTGATTTGTATTATTCATACCATCGTGTTATGTTATTTAATGTGTATGAGTTGCTAGAAATATTGATTATACTTCATTAAAGCTAAGATATATATACAAAGCAATGGCCTTTTAAATCCTTGCAAGTTTGTTATGACTATTCTGGCTTGCCTATGATGGTGAACTAAAAGTTTTCTGTAAAATTCCTAAGGGCATGGAGTTAATCCTATTTTTTATGAGAGTTATAGGTTAAATTATTATATTACACTATAAAAAAATATGGCTATTCAGTATAGAAAATGAGCTTTCCTGACGGTTTTAACCACAACAAAATTTTTTGCAGTGGTTTTCAAACCTCTAATTAGTAATATGAACAGGGTGATAATTTGGTCATTAAGTTAATGTGGAGGAAAAGTGTAACATAGGCCCATAATAAGATTTCAAATCAGGGCAGCTAATATTTAAATTATTGCTATAATGTGTCTCTATATGACAAACTAATTTGGACATGTATGCATAACAAAACAAATCAAATGAATCATTTTAAGGTAATGAAGAAAATTAAGGTTCGATCCTCTGGCTTGAACCTCACTCGAACTCAGTTTCAAACTTTTGTTTTGAAGCTAATGATCAAACCCCATGTTCAAAAAAGATGTTCGAGCAAGGTTCAATCCTCATATTATAAGTTCAAACCCTATTCAAATATAATTTCAATGTTGATTGCAGAATCCTATGTTCAAAAGAAAAGTTTAATGATTCAAACCCATTATTCATCGCAAATTTTGAACCTCTATTGTCAAACCTTAGATTCAAAAAAGAAGTTCAAATTAGGATTGAACAATATTTGTATCTCATAATACAAATTTCAACATTGTTAAAACCTAATTTGGCCTTCTATTTTGACCCTCATATTATGTGTAGTCTTTTGAACTAGTTCTAAGTATATTTTTGATTTGGGAGTTCTAAATTACTGTCCAAACTTAACATTTGAAAATGTCTCTATATTACTATAACCTAAGATCATATAAGGCAGACTTTTCCATCTACAGCGGTTTTCATTTGCCGTGAGATTTGGTTTTAGATTTTAGGCTGTTTGGTTGGATTTCCCTCAAATCCGCCTCAAATCCGGCCTAAATCCTGCTACCAAACATCCCCATAACATAAAAATCAATAACTTTCTAGAGTTCAACATTCAAATTCATACAACATCATAAATCATATATGTTAAATGACTGTCAATTACCATTACTCAAACATAGAGAGTATAATGCTCATAAAAAGCACTCAAACACCAAATCAACATAGTTGATCATTATCAACTACCACATACAAACATCATCTCCTTCTTCTTCCTCTCCTCCACCACTCCCACACCTAACCATTTCTTCAAGCTAGTAGCATCTGTATTACCACTTTTGCAAGCCTTCAAGAATAGTTAATTAAGCTCTGCCTCCATGTGAGTCTTAATGGTAACATCAGACTTGGGATAAGCATAGCAAGTAAGCACCCATCCCTCACCAATCTGATCATCATCGAGAAAACTAACGTCAGACTGATCAACCTCGCCCTTAATCACCTTTCCAGCACACGAAGAGCAGGAACCAGCTCGGCAAGAGAATGGCAAGTCTATCCCATCCTCTTCTGCCTTGTCCAGAATAAACACATCGTCTGGACACTCAATCTCCACAGTCTCATCAGGCGTGACAAGAGTCACCTTATACGTAGCCATGGCCTTCACTCTGCCACCTTTGGTATCGGCCATCTTTAGCCGGAAGAGAGAGGCGGCTCGGTGGCGGCCGGAGAAGCCAAGGCTGAGTGGGGGAGAGGTGAAAGGAGTGTGCAGAGAAAGGGAGGCTGCCATTGCTGGACTTGGTGGCTGAGGAGAGGAGAAGATTGGGAGGGTAAACGTAGATATGAGGGAGTTGGGGAAGGTTTTGGGTGGTGGATAATGGAAGCTTATCCTTTTTGATACTGTATGTGCGGTGGATGAGTGGACGGCATTGAAAGGCTAGAGAGAGGATTTTGAATTGGTGATAATAGTGATTTATGCTGGGAAAAAATAAAATAAAATAAATGAGTCTGAATGCGTAATATGATTCATGTAATTATGAGTGGGTCATATTTATTCACGTATTTTGGCTATTTTTTATGCACATAAAATTCTGGCCACTCATATAAATAAATTAATAAAAGTACAAGAAAAGCTATACATATATAATGCCATTGAATTTAATGTAAGAATTTATTTGAAGATAAGTTAATTAAATTAACTTGATTAAGTTGAAGCTTATTTAATTTTATATGTAAGTTCTTGTGAGAATATAAAAATTATATCTTCTCTACTTAGAGGTTTTATATTTAGATATAAAATGTTTTATATATTGTATGACTTGACTTTTTATATTTATTTTATGAGCCATTTCTATCATGTTATAGTGCACTTAGTGCTCTATTTTGTTATAATCCGGGAGTCTGATATTATGCTTTGATGATTACAAACATCATTGGGCACTTATCTAATTTTTATGCTTTATAAATTGCCTATGTTTTCCTATGCACTATTAACGTTTTAGATTCAGCATGCATGAAGCAAGAATAAATGATTAAGGCTCAAGATTGTGTTTTGTGAGTATGTGAGTTAATTTATATCTCAAAGAGTCTGTAATTTTATTTTTCTCGAGTTTATTTTTATAATAGGTGTATGTTTTCTTAGCAACCATACACATACACACACAAAGAGGAGTGAATATTAAAATATTTTAATTTCTTTGAAGTTCACACTATCTAATTCACTAAAACATAAATTAATTAAACTATTTGATTTAGTGAGATTAAAATTAAAATGGGCTTTAACTAATTGTACTGTGTGAGAACTCGAAACATGAAATGCTTTTAAGAAAATAGAATTTTCGCTTGAACTGCAGTGCAAACCGACATTGTTTTTTTGGGCACTGAGGCATCAGGGTTTAGAGCATAGCAACACTAAAAATGACCACTGCGGCGCCGGAGTGATCTGTTCTACAATAATTTCGAAATCGACATATAGCGTTGGGACTGAGTGTTGTGGTGCTATGCCACTAAAACTTTTTTTTTAAATATTTTTTCGCTTAAATCTACCCCCATCACCTCTCTCTCTCTCTCTCTCTCTCTCTCTCTCTCTCTCTCTCTCTCTCTCTCTCTCACTTGCGCTCAGCTTGGTCAGGAAGAAACGAAGGAGAAAGGGGAGGAAGGGAGAGAAAGTTTTATTCTAGTCATTTTCGTCCACTATTTCTTTAACCAAAATTATTCTATTAATTATAAGTAATTATATATCCTCATACTTCTATTTTTGATGATTTTGATTTCTACAAATTGATCTCTCATAAATATACTAAATATTACATTATCTTCTGATTTTATAAGTTTTCATCATGAAATTTTTGATAATTTATAGATTTGATCATTCTGAATGATTTGATAGAATTTTATTGCAATTTTACTGGTTAAATATGTTTATAAGAATTTTTTGGGTAAAATGAGTAGGAAAACAACATACTGAAAATGGGCAGAAGTGATGCACTTTAATTGACATAATAATACTGAAAGGTTGTATGGGATGAAATGATCTGTATGATCAATATGTACTGGAATGTGGCACTGATCGGATTGAAAAGATATATTGTACTGATACTAATCTTATAAAAATGATAAACTTATTGACATTGAATAACTGATATGTTAACCTCATGTGATATTCTTAAGATCCACGTGGTCCATTGATAGAAGCCAATAGACATGAGTCATAAGGAGTTAGAGATTGATGGAGTTATAAGTTGTGGTAATTGATTCACATGATTCAAGGGTAGTTATAAGGAGTATATTGATTGAGAGTCAAAAGAGGCGATTGATTGGCAGTCATAAGAGCAGGATAATATACTCTCATATGAATTTCTAATAGAATATTGATTATTGATTATTGATTACTGCTAACTGATACTAATTTTAATGGCTACTGACTATCATATTAATACTATACGACTGATAAGAATGACTGAAAGTTCATGGATAGAAATCATGGGGAAGTGTTTCCACGGTTTAAAAAGTGATTTAAAAAAGCTAAATAACCCTAAGCATTGTGGCCTAGGTCTAAGAATTTTGAGAGATTATACCGTTAGATCTTAAGGGATTTGATATTATTGATCTTGTAGATTATCCTTGTACAAATTCCTAGTTGAAACCACGGTCTGAAACACGCTAGATCGAGCGGAAGGAGCCTTGAACGGAGTAGGGGTTAGTTCTCTAGAGAAGTCATCATCGGTGACGTGCAACGACTTGGACTTTGTAGTTGGAAGATAGAGGAAGGTCTAGAGAGCAAGAACAAAAAGAGAAAACCCCTTAAGAGAGCTTGGAGGGTAGGATATTGAGTGATCGAAAAAATGATCAGAATTTAGTCATTTCAAGTCTAGGGTTTGAAATGGATAGATATGATCGACTGAGCCACTCCCTTGGATCATTGCCCAACGCCCCAGAAGGTTAGGCTGGCAAAGAAATGCTGGGGCAAGGCTCAAACACATTGGTGGCTTTGAGCTTAAAGAGGGGACCACATTCCCTAAACTGACCAAGCCAAGGTATGGGCTCAGTTTTAATTAGAGTCCTTAAGAATGATTTTGCACTTAAATAGAATCTCTACACAAGCCTATACTAAGAGGAGATAGGGTTAGACATGAGATTTGGTATTTTGGAAAGGTTTAAGGTCTTTCATTGACTATCTTGACTAGTCAACGGGTCAAGGTAGTCTGATGTTGCACCTATAAGACTAGTGTTGCTAGTAAAATAGGTTCCAAGGTGATTCTAAGGCATGGGTTGAGAGCATGAGCAAGCTAATGAATGTATGGTTGGGTTTGACCAAGTTGAATAAGTTGACTTGGTCATATTCACTAGAGTTTAACACACTCATATATTAGAATATGTTCAAGCCATTTAAAGAAGATGAATTCAAGGCTTGAAAGGGATTTAGTTGATAATAGACAATGATTTAACTAAAGCCATAGGGATTTGACCAAACTCCAAGCGTTGACCTTGGTCAAGTCCTTAGGATTTGACTCTCCAAAAGTTTGAAAACACGTAAGCCATGAATTAGAAGGGGATTAAGGGTTTGAAGTTTGTTAATTTGATCAAGTGAGAGGATTTAACCTAAATGGGTCAAATTTGACCAGGCCTGGACTTAGTTGACCAAGCCAACTGTTGATTGGTCAACATGTCCAGTCAGGTCCAAACCACAGGGGGAGGTGTTCAAAGAAGTTTGAATGAGTTTGATGTTGATTTGGTGTTGAATTATGTAAACATATGGGTTATTATTGATATGGTCAACCTAGGTTGACTTGATCAACCAAGTTGACCAAAGGATAGGGGCTGGGATCAATAGATTTGAAATGATATTTTGAGTCTATTGAAGGTGTTCTCAAGGCTTGGGGAGGTCATTTCAATCAAATTGACTATTTGGACCCTTAAGGGCTTATTTGGTCAACTTAGGTTGGCTTGGTCAACTTAGGTTGGCTTGGTCAACCAGGTTGACCCAGGGCCTAAGTTTGAGTCCAATATGTTTGGTTTGATGTTTGGAGACTAGTGGAGATGGTCTTAAGGACTGGTGGGGCCATTTGGTTCAAAATGGGTATTTGAATCCCTAAAGGGTATATTGGTCAACCATAATTGACTTGATCAACCAGGTCAAACCAAAACCTCAGTGTGGGTTCAATGGATCTCAAATGATATTTGTGATTCATTGGAAGAGGTTTCAAAGGTTGAAAAGATTGAACCATGTTAAGTTTTAGCCAAAAGTCCAAAATTTCCCTTAAAGGTCATTTTAGTCATTTTGGCCTCTAGTCAACTATGGGTCAAACTAGGATAAAAAAATCTAGTTTATTGATCAACATGTCATATTAAAGGTGGCTAAAGTGGTCAGAGGCTTTGGGGAGAGTTCCAAAGTCAAATTCCCAAAGGTGACAAGTTTAGTGGCATAGGTTATAAATAATTGAAGGTTTTTCTACCTTTGGAAATAAATCTAGTTTATAGGGATAGATACCTCAGAATAAGATCACATTTGTATGGTTGACTCTAAAGACATATTTGATCAATATGAAACTGACAGATCATAAATCAGAGGTCATTTTACTAAATTTCTAGGTGATAGAAAATTCATCTAGAAATGGTTCATGACTTAGGCTCTTGGCCTTAGGTTTTGCATTGAAAGGTTGAGTTTGAGCTGGATTTTGGGTTTGATTGGGTAAGCTTTAGAATATCCAAATCAATCACAATTAGATAAATGAATGGATTTGATTGTATGCGACCAAGATTTGATTGAAAATTAGATTGAACTATGACTCTAGTGAGCATTAGAGTATAGAGTGGGAATTGAATTGAAGGCTGGATTAAAATTTTATTGGGGTCTCTATGATTAACAAGTGGACAACTGTCAATCTTAAGATCATCAAGTAGGAGTTTAGATAGGCTCTAATGACCTCATATAAAAATGAGGTCAATAATTAGCCTAACAACCATACACACACAGACAAAAGAGAGTAAAATTAAATATTTTCTTTTTTTAATTTGTATTGTACGATCTTAATCATGCTGTATAATCAATTAAAAACAATAAAATATTTAATTAAGTGAGATTAAAATTTAAACGGGCTTTACCTAATCATATTATATAGTTAACACATTATACATGACGATCAACTATATATAGAATCCCCTTCGTCAATTAAATTAGGCAAAAAAATGAAATTTTAAAAATTGTTTTAATCATATTATATAAACTTAATCGTATTATACTATGTTTTAATATCTTGCCTAATTTAATTTCGATGATTAATCAATTGAATTAAGATCGTACTATACAATTTTAATCATGCGGGACCATTAACAAAGTATTATCTTGAATGATCCCATTCTTACCAGGGTTCA